TTGCCATTTTGGCAGCAGACCATTCGTGCAGAAACCCACTACTTGCCTCCCAGCTATTGTGGTGATGTTCAGTATTCCAAATACTATTAGCATACAAAGAATTCTCTTCCTGTTATGTAATTAGAACATAAGATTATTTTTTCCTATTTGGGTAGCATAAAAATATAAGCTGAATAACCCATTGGTGTGCTTCTTTGGGGCTAGGGTGTTGACAGATGGTAACTCCTCTGCTTTAGTATGCTGTTCCTCAAAGATGTTAGTATATAGCAAAACCTTTTTTTTTTTTTTGCTACCAGTTCAAAGTCTTCCCTAGATTAATTATAAATATATTACCGTCTTTAGTGCGGGGAGAGCACACTCCAGCAATAGGATGATGAGGAAGGGCTGGGAAGAGAAAGGAAGGACTCTGTGTACCCTGGGAATCTCTTAGGTGTTGAAATTGTATATTTGGCTAAATATGTGAAAACTTTCTTGATGCAAATGATCTCTTCTTAAAATATGTGCTGAATTCATAAGTCAGTGTCAAACATTCGCAAAAGAACATGTGGGGGCGGGGGGAGAGACAGTGATGAGGAGTATAAATCCCACACTAGAACGGAAAGGGTTAAGGAGCAGTTCTGGGCCCCTGTAACTCTGCACCCCCTCCTTTCCCCAAACCTGCAGAGCATGTTCCAGCTGGAGGAAGGACTTTAAAGGGAGCCAGACAACTCAGATGGGGGAACAGGTCAGATCTACCCTGAGTTCTCCAGACCAAAGCTGCCACAAATGCCTCTGCTGGGGAGGAAGGGACTACCAGATGACTCTAGCCAGGCTGAAGGTTCAGTTACCCTTTTCCCCACCTCCCCTTTGCTATATTAAGTTGGACTTTGAGACTGTGGAAGAGAGTGGATAGTAGGAAGCGGTCCAAGGAGGCAGTCTTGAGGCACACCCTGGTGCCTGACTTCGTTTGCCTCGCATAGGGCCCAGAGTAAGAGCTCAGTGGAGTGGAAGGGTCCAGGCTCCTTTCTCAAACGCCCTCGTCATACAGGGATATAACCGTCACTTCCACCCCTCCCAGAAGTAAGGAGAAGATGGAGATGCTGAAAGCCTCATGGGAAGGACCAGCCATCTGCAGGGGCCAGGAGATAAACTGAGGATCCTCTCTTGTCAGAAGGATGTGGGACCCTCTACAATTTGTTGAACGCTGCTGCCCCGAAAGGGGGGATGAGCTAAATTGGTGACCCTGCTGGAGGACTGAGTTGATACACAACCAAAAGGCGGGTCAGCCCAGTTCTGGAGGAGTTGCTGACACAAAGCACCAAAGACTGGGAGGGGGAAATGACTTAACTACTAAGTGCTGCCACCGGTAAGCCCAGCTCTCGGCACTACATACATACATATATCTACACAGACACAAATAGCATATTTGTGAAAATATTTATATATTGAAAATATTTTTAAATCACACACATATGCTATATTTCTGCCAACTTTTTAAATAAAATTTCCACTTTGGGCCAACAATTTTGAATGGGATTTTTAGGAGGTGGTGTTATGATTAGGGTGGTTTCCAAAGGAAGTAAGGGCTTGTCTACATTACCCGCTGGATCAACGGGCAGCTATCGATCCAGCAGGGGTCGATTTATCGCATCAGACGCGATAAATCAATCGCCGAGCACTCTCCCGTCAACTCTGGTACTCCACCAGAGCAAGAGGCGCAGGCAGAGTTGAAGGGGGAGTGAAGACATCACGGTGAGTAGATTTAAGTATGTCGACTTCAGCTACGTTATTCATGAAGCTGAAGTTGCGTAACAGTGTAGACCAGAGCTAATAGAGTTAGGAAGATACACAAGGCTTGAAAAGACATTACAAGTCTGTGATACAAAATTATTTATAATCAGATGCTTTATTTTAGCTTTTATTAGTTTGATGAGACTAGGCACATCTTGCAAATTCCCATCTCAAACTGTGTCCAAAATTATCTATTCTTATTTTACTGCCTGGTGTACATATACTTATAATCTCTATCTATTGTATTAAGCCATAATGCTATTTTAAAGTACCAAATGTATTTGAGATGAGTGTTGAGGTCCTTTATGTTCCTTATATTTGGGAATACATCCCTATTCAGGAGAGTCCTTGAGCAAACCCAATGGAGCTTAGCCACTTAAGCAAGTGCTTTCCTGAATTGACGCCTTAGTCCTAATTTTCCACTATTAGTAACAAGCAGTTTTGTTTAGAACAACGTATCCTGCTCACAAAGGAAGCAGGAGATATTACTTCCACACAACCCAACTTATACACTTTACTAACAGAAATGTTATACATGTGATTCATTTAACCAAAGTAAGTATTAAGACTTAGAAAGAGAAATAACAGAGAAAAAAATTAAGTGTTTTGGATAGTTGGTGAATGGAAATACTCTCTAGCATATAAATAGTGTGCTTATTACTCATGGCAGTGTTTACATATACGGGTTTACCGTGGTTTTTAAATCACTGACTGAATGTGACATGTGTCACATTGTGCTGGGGTCCATTGCATGATGAGCTATGTCACATCTAATTATATATTAAATTACTTCTTGGTGCCTTCTTCTGATATTAATGTATGCTAATGCCAGCAATCCACTGCTTGTAGAGAGAAATATATAATGAAAATATTTTCTTGTAACATTTCCCCCCCCCCCTCCCCAAAATACTACTGGTAAAATTATGCACTGGGCCAACAAATAATTTTTAAAAAGGAATCAGCTCCTCCAAATGGTCTTCCATTGATCAAAGGCTGGTCAAAAAATTTCCAACAAAACTGTCTCAGTGAAAAATTGAGTTTCCAACTAAATAACATTTTTCATTAAAAGAGTCTGCTTTCCGCAGAAAATTTTGCATTTTCCTCTTATACACTTTGGCCAAAATTGCAAACTTTTCAGCCAAAAACATTTGGGTTTTGGCTGAAAATTTTCCGGTTCCAGTTTTTCCAAATCTATCCACAGAGGAAAAAAATTCCGAACAGCTCTGCATCAGTCACCATACAGTGGGCCGAATCCTGCTGTTAGTTACCTCCATGCAAATGTTAGTGATAGCACAATGTGGTCCTGAGAAAGGTAATATTCATGAGGTTTGTTTATAGGCATAATCTTAATGCATACCACTGCACAGATGATGGACTAACTTTACTATGTGCTTTATTAGACTTGTTAATTTTATGAATCATGTCTGATAATTGTAATAATTTGAATACTCAAGATGAAGGAACCTGCTAATTACTTTACTGTGAATGTAATGTCAAATACCCATTTTCTGTTTTTTTTAAATACATTAATGAAATACTAAGATTAATTACTCTCAGAATACTAAAGGATGAGAACTGCTAATTGCAAATAACCGAGAAAGTATCTCTTGATTAATAAACCAAAGAGCTTTCAGCCTTTGACATAAAAATTTATACCCTCCAAGAAAAAACAAGGGCAAGGAAATATAACATTAAACCAACACACAATTAACAACACTTTGTTTTAATTATCTTTGGGCACAATTAATGTTGGCCCTGCAGTTCATTTTTCTTCTTTGACTGCTCATTAGACTATTTATGTAGATTAATTCTTGAAGTATTGGCATTTGCTAATACATGGTTTTTTACAAGCTACTGCACAAAGCTGACATCAGTGAGGAAACCTATTAACTGACCTCCCAGAGACAGATCCTGTCTGTCTTAATGTTATGTTTTTTTTCCTTCTAGGCAGTTTGCCATAATTGATAAAAGGTTATGACTTTATTGAATGATTTCTTATCAGCTGAAAGGACATAAAGGACTGAACAGTCATGCAGATTGACTGAAAACAAGGCCAAGGGAACTCAAATTATGCATATTTGGAAAAAGAAATTTACAAGGAACCTCAAGTCACTCAAGTCAATGATACAATTAAGACTAAATAAGTGCTTTTGTTTATTTCAAATTCTATAGACCTAGGTAAAATGCATACATATTATGAAGCAATTGTTCTATGTAGGATTAGTGAGAATTAACATTTAATATGTTTATTTCAGTGATATTTGTGTGGGTCTTTAAAGGGAAAATATATTTACAGACATAATTATAAAGACCTTGAATAATTTTAGGTGAGGCCTGTGCTTTGTACTTAGATCTGAACACACCTACCACTTTTTGTTTTATTTTTGTTTTACAAAATCTTCCAGGACACTAATATTGAACTTGATTTTTAATTGAATTGGAGTATAAATCAAGTGAGAATGTTATGTGGATTATGAAGCAGGAGAATTTTCCTGTTTGCTTAAACCAGAAATCTATAGCCCCAGTGACTGAATCTTTATTCCTTGTTTTTCTCAATCTCAGGCAAAACTCCTGCTGAGATCACTAGAAAGCATTTGTATATTGTACTGCTGAACCACTGTATAAGAACCTGAACAGACTACAATGAACTGAGCACTGAATAAGAACTTCAGAATTTGATTCTATGTTGGTCCAGACCTTGGTTCCGAACCTTGAGGTTATTACATCATGCTTAAGTACATGCACATTGAACTCAGTGCAGTTACTCAGGTGCATGCTCCTTGGGGGGTCTGGTAAGGACTGTGAGGTTTTCAACAATAAGTACTCCAAACATTGCAACTTCAGCAGCAAACACCAGAGTGAAGGAATGCCATTTTTATGATGGTTATTAAATCATGTATGCGACACACGATTTAAAAAATTAACACTTGAAACAAAGTCAGAATGACACAAGTTTTCTTATTGGATAGTGTCAACGGGTTTGATTGAGCCTATAGCTTGAACTGAATTAAAATTATTTATGAAGTACTTTTTAAGGATATATGATCCTTGACATTAGAGACAGTAGTTCCAAGATGGAACTTTTTACTCATCCTTGATAAATGAATCATGATAAAAAATACTGTTACATGAGTCTAAGTGAACTGAGAAAGACTGGATTTATACCACATTGATTCAGTACCACTATAAGAAGTGGTATATTTTATGTGTAAAGTTATTTTATTTCTTACCTCCAGAGCTTTCAATCGTTCTAATAGCAATTTTGTCTTTTCTTTCTCTTCTTCAGTACTGCTACTTTCACTTCTTGAATCTTCATCTACTGCAATATGAATGTGTTCCACAGTTTCTTTGCATTTTCTGTCCTCTTCTGACAGTTTTTCCTAAAAAGATTAAGAATTTTTTTCATTACACACAAGAGTAGATGAAATTAATTATGTAAGAGTAAATGCCTAGGAATCTCCTTTGAAAGACAATGTGGGTGAAGTAATATCTTTTATTGGACCAACTTCTGTTGGTGAAAGAGACAGGCTTGTGAGCTACAGAGAGCTCGTCTTCAGGTCTTCTCAAAAGCTACCTTTTCACAGAAGACCTGAAGAAGAGCTCTATGTAGCTCAAAAGCTTGTATCTTTCACCAAAAGAAGTTGGTCCAATAAAAGATATTAGCTCACCCACCTTGTCTCTCTAATATTCTGGGACCAACACGGCTACAACAGCATTGCAAACAACATAGGAATTTCCTTTGCACACGCAAAAAAGAGAACTTGTACCTTGTTTGTGATCACAGTACTCATGAAGATTCTGCTGAACGCATTATGGCCTCAGTCCTGCAAAAGGGTGTGCATGGGTGAACCTTTATACCCTACCTGAATTCCCAGTGAATTTAATGGGACTCTGTGCAGGTGTAAGAGTCTGTCTTTTTGCAGGTTAGAGACCTAGTTTATCTTTAACAAAACAACTTTTGCATTTTCTTTAAAAGTTGTTGCAACAAGAACTTGGCTTCCAATACAAGTGCTCTGCCACTGACATACAAAGACAGTTTACCTAGGGACAACCAACTTAATATATGGCATCCTTCTTCATCTAGCGCTTATTCATGAACTATCATTTAGTGGGCTCAGGATCTATTACTTGACTACTACTTGGATATTGATTTCAGCACAGGATATAAACTAATGTATAACTAGAGATAACCAAAGTAACAGGAAGTTTTCAAGTGTGTCTTTTGAAAATAAATGAAACTTAGGCTCTGAAGTGACATAGGCACTTTTAAAAATTTGGCTCATAATCCAGAAATTTTGCATTCAATTAACTTTACTTGATATGTGTGTTTTGGGGTTATAGCTTGTGATAGGCGGACTCATTTTTGCTTAATTTCAAGCCCCGCTGAACAGCATCATCATTATTTAGGGCTAGATTGCCTATTACTTCTAGCCTAGAGAAAGGGTTAGCATGTAGCTGAGCTGCCCTAGGAGCAACGTAGGGAAGGAACTGTGCTTCAGTTCCTCTCCTGCTCTTCCACTCTGTTCCCGGGAAGTAGGAACTGGATACCGATCTTTACCACTAGCAGATTCCATGACCCTATCAACTTAATCTGCCCAACTGCATGGTGGAGGAAGGCAGATGTAAGAGAATACTAGGAATGTGGCCCTGCTTCTCCAAATATATGTAGCAGAAATGTGGACAAGCCGTGGAGGAGTATGCGGGGGGAGGAGACTTTTCTCCCCATCGGGCCTCTCTGCAGCCATGTAGGCAAGACCACAATTAGCACTAATTGCTTGTTGAGAGTAAATAGTGTACTCTATGATGTAAAGAAGAAACAGAGGACAAGGACTATCACCTCAAGAAATTTAAAATCTAAGGCCCCCAAAGACTTCTCCACATGTATAACTTTACACACAAATTGAGATTACTGGGATTGTTCACATGCGTTAAATGTATATGTAACACCAACAGACCCTGGTCGTCGGCGGGCGGGATCAAACCTGGGACCTCTGGATCTTAATGCATGAGACTCTACTGCATGATCTAAAAGCCATATATATGACTATTAGCTAAGGCTGTAGAGCAGACTCATTAATCTCTCTTTCTAAGTGGTCTCGATGCCCACCACACCCAGGAGGTATGTGGGTTACATATGCATATGCAGAAGTGTTTTGAGGATTAGCACCTAACCAGATGAATAAAATGAGGCACACATACATTTTACTGAGAGTGGAAGTATCAGTGGGTGACTCAGAACTTTTATTGTGTTTAAATGTTGTTTTTGTTAAGTGATTAAGGTTGGTGAGTTTCACAAGAGACCTGTAGAAAACACGAGTTTGAATGTTGAACTGTACTAACTCAGTAAGTTATGGATCTCATTCTACAATTAGAGACAAAGAGGATGGCAAAAATGAACTGAGAGAAACAAATCCAAAGGAAAATTATACTGAATGTGAGATATTGTGCAAAAGGAGCAAAGGAGTAAGGAAAAACAGACACACACACAATATTACTATTCATAAGACATTCATGGTGGACTCCACAAATCAATGTAGGCTCCTAACTTCTACTGAAATCTGTCACTGAAATCAATGGAAGTTAAGGTCCTAACTTCTATCTAGACACCTAAGTTGCTTTGTAGATTCCACTCTGAACACAGACAATAAAATATACATTGTCCCTACCCTGAAGAGCTTACGATTTAATTGTGTATATGAAGCGAAGAGTGGAAGTAACAATGGTGGGGATAGGGATAGGAATGGGAAATGGGAAGAAAAGAAGGACAACTATAAAAAGGTAACATGGGGATGGGTGACCTTACAAAAATCTAGATAGATATATTAAATCACTTGGATATGTAATGTGCACTTCAGGATTGTTCTGATATACATCTGCATATATGTGCACACTGTGGCAAGGCACCTTCTCGGTCTCACCAGCCTCAGCTGTTTTTAGCCTTGGCGAGATGGGCTTGGGGTAAAACAGTCCCTCTTGGCTGCACAGGGGCAGTCCGCTCCTTCTCTCAGTCAGTCTTTTAGGCTTATTTTCCTCCCTTATGGAAAGGAATGCAGCCTCCACTCCTGGCGAGGCTTGCCATCTTGCTGCTCCTCGCCTCCTGGCAGCTTGACTCCCCTCCTCAACAGGGGAAGGTTTAAAAAGGTCTCAGGCAGCCCTTAGTTGGAATCAGCTGATCCTAATTGTCCTCAGGTAACTCTCTCTCAGCTGATCCTGATTGACCTGTAGTCACCCCTCCTCAGTTGATAAGGAGGAGGGCCTTTTACCCTTCTGGGACTGTTTTCTACCCTCCCCCCCCCCTTGCAGCTGTCTGTCCTGAGTTTATCACAACACTTACAGGTATACAACATCACCGGCTCATTCACCTGCATGTCCACCAATGTTATATATGCCATCATATGCCAGCAATGCCCCTCTGCTATGTACATTGGCCAAACTGGACAGTCACTACGCAAGAGGATAAATGGACACAAGTCAGATATCAGGAATGGCAATACACAAAAACCTGTAGGAGAACACTTCAACCTCCCTGGCCACACAATAGCAGATGTAAAGGTAGCCATCTTACAGCAAAAAAACTTCAGGACCAGACTCCAAAGAGAAACTGCTGAGCTCCAGTTCATTTGCAAATTTGACACCATCAGATCAGGATTAAACAAAGACTGTGAATGGCTATCCAACTACAGAAACAGTTTCTCCTTCCTTGGTGTTCACACCTCAACTGCTAGCAGAGCACCTCACCCTCCCTGATTGAACTAACCTCGTTATCTCCATACTGATTTATACCTGCCTCTGGAAATTTCCATTACTTGCATCTGATGAAGTGGGCATTTACCCACGAAAGCTTATGCTCCAATACTTCTGTTAGTCTTAAAGGTGCCACAGGACCCCCTGTTGTTTTTTACAGATTCAGACTAACACGGCTACCCCTCTGATACTTGACTTACAGGTATTGTGTATCAGCCTATACTTTGAGAGGTGCTTTCTTATTTCTAATATATAGCACATGGTCTGTAATGATTTAATGGCTTGAACAATACATTCAAACCATTTTCCCTTTTCAAGTTGTCCTGAATCAGGAAATCCATGTAAAACTTTATCAACCAATTCAGAGAACAGTTTGTTATAATGACTCATCTTTGATGCAATGCCAGCATGAATGACTCTTTTAAAGACAAAAATACAACGCAAATGAATGAAGCCTAGTAATGGAAGGACATCTTAACACCCAAGGGCATCCTAACTGCCAACTTCGTAAGCTTGTTAAAGGAGAGTGTGTAGGAAAGCATGACCCCAGACACTTCACCACAGAGGTGGGAACAATGTGATTCCTATCAAAGTAAATTGCAGAAATCAATGACTTTATCTAATACAATGCTTAGAACAAATAAATGACTTCTTGCTCTTCTTTGAATTACAAAATTTGATGTCCTTGGGAGACAAGGTTGCATTACCGAAAATTCACACTGTCAACTAAAATAGAAATACATATTTGAGCATTGTTTGCTCAAAAATGATACTTCAAACAAAGATGCTTAATAATGTTACCCTATAACAATATATACATGCTAAACAGAATATAGTCAAAGATCAAATCCCATTATAAAGAAACTGGGTCTCCTGCTCTCACTGAAGTCAATGGGAATTTAGCCATTGAGCTCAATGAGAGGATTGGCCCACTGGATCAGATTCTCAAGCGGGTGTAAATCTATGTAGCTCCATTGAAGTCAATGAGGCTATACAGATTTAAAATAGTTAATGATCTGGCCTATTATCTCTACATATACAAAATGTTCTATAAAAGACATAAGTAGTACACTGATGATGCATCTTTTGGTCTAATATCTCAATTCCTATTGCCAATAGAGCCAACACTTGAAGATAGACCCAGCGCAGCCTCGAAATGGTAAGAGTTCTCAAATTAATGTGAAGATATAAATCACTGAAGACACTGATCTATGAAACTTCACAATGCAACAACCTCAATGAGATTTGTCAGAAAGCTGGATTTCAAAAAGATGAACTAAGAGGGAGCAATTCAATTTCCCCTCTCCACCAATACATTGAGATGAAAACGACAAACTGACATTGGATGAAATCTTGCTGAAATTCCATTATTTTCATTATGGTGAAAAGCCACTGTCCTCCCTAGCATCCGGGGGGGATGGGCGCCGGGGGGAGGGCGCCGGGGGGAGGGCGCCGAGAGCACCGGGGGGAGGGCGGCGAGCCCGGCCGTGGCCCCGCTCTCCCCGGGGGCCGGAGCGCCGCGCCGCCCCCCTCCAGGTGCCGCCCCAAGCACCAGCTTGGTGGGCTGGTGCCTGGAGCCGGCCCTGTATGCCCAGGTTGAAAAAGAATGCCTGGCAAGGAAACAAATGCTTGATTT